TAGATAATTTTCTGTGATCCTAGGGAGCGTCAGGATTCTGATGGACAGATGAAGGAACTGCAGGATCAGTTGGAGGCAGAGCAGTATTTCTCTGTAAGAAGTCTAAACACTCTTTCCCTCCAGAAACAAACTAAACACTCAAAGGTCTAACATGACTGTGTATGTGTGTGTGTGCGCGCCTGTGCATTTGTGTGTAGACGCTGTACAAGACACAGGTGCGGGAGCTGAAGGAAGAGTGTGAGGAGAAAAATAAACTCTATAAAGACATGCAACAGAACCTACAGGAGCTTCAGGAGGAAAGGTGAGATATATATTCAATAACAAGCAGAAAAACCATAGCCTAGTGTGCAAAATGTGTTCAGTTTCATTATTAAAATTTAAATGACAGAATTAAAAAAAATTTCATTACATGTCATTATATATATTTTTTTGTCAAAATACCAGTTTATTTTTTTTTATCACATTGCAAATTGAAAGTATGTATTGTGTACATGTTGGTTTAAATTCGGTATACCTTTTTCTCATATCTTATTCTCAGGGATTCTCTTGAGGCCCAGTTGGAGATCACACTAACGAAAGCTGACTCAGAGCAGCTGGCGCGCTCCATTGCGGAGGAGCAGTATTCCGACCTGGAGAAGGAGAAGATCATGAAGGAGCTGGAGATCAAAGAGATGATGGCCAGACACAGACAGGAGCTCGCTGAAAAAGACACCACCATCACCTCAGTGAGTTACACCACACTTCAGCTATTAGCCGCTGTTACAGAAATCACATTATAGATTTGCAGCAGTCTTGAGGAAATTGGATGGTGTTGGGTTTAATTGTCCCATCCTTCCACAGTTAGAGGAAGCTAATCGCACATTGACGAATGATGTGGCAAACCTGGCCAATGAGAAGGAAGAACTCAACAACAAGCTAAAGGAAACGCAGGACTGTAAGTTACCCAGATCTTAAACTGATAGTGGCTAAATACGTCAACCATTATATTATATTATATTATATACTTTTTACATAATTTGATCATTTTAAAATAAAAAATATTTTAAAATGAGATTTTACTTAAATTTTTTAGATTTGTGTACACAGGTTTCCAGCTGAATAACAGATTTCACAGGGGCTGAATTTGGCTTTTTGTGTCTCTGTGATGACTGAGAAAATTTTTAATTTTCAGACCTGCAGAATCTCAAGAATGAAGAGCAGTCCATCACTCAAGTGAAACTTGCCTTTGAGAAACAGCTTCAGTCAGAGAGAACTCTCAAAACACAGGTGCACCATAATGTTGTCCTTGTAGCAGATGTGAATCAAATTGAGCTTGTTGATTTGTATTTACTGCCTCAGTTACTACCTTTTCTTAATTTTATTGGCTTTTTACTCTAGGCAGTGAACAAGCTGGCAGAGATCATGAACAGAAAGGAGGTCAGAGGTGGTGGAAGTCGCCGTGGAAATGATACAGACGTGAGGAGGAAGGAGAAAGAAAACAGGAAGTTGCAGCTGGAGCTGCGTTCCGAGAAGGAGAAGCTCAACAGCACTATCATCAAATACCAGAGAGAAATCAACGACATGCAAGCGGTAGGACCACTAATCAGTCTGAAGAATTCCACACTGCTTGACATATAGCCAGAATGCTTGTTTCTTACTCTTGTTAATTTTTGCTGCAGCAACTGGCAGACGAGTCTCAGGTGCGTATCGAGCTGCAGATGGCTCTGGACAGTAAAGATAGTGACATTGAGCAGCTGCACAGCCTGTTGAACTCTCTTAACGTCCAGTCGCTCGACTCTGCTAGTATGAGCAGTGGCCCAGACATGGACACTGACGAGTCACTACCAGGTACGGTGAAGTCCTTTTCCAAACTTCTTTTCATTCTGTTTTCCTTTTTCACAACTTTTCTTTTTAATTCACTTACCTTGTGTTTTCTTCACATCGTTCCATGTCACCCTCCTTTCTCTCTGCTTAGTTTTGGTCTGGTTCTCAGTTCAACTTTTGATCTTTCACCCTTCACCTCACTGCAGAGCCTGACCCTACAGGTGATCTGCATGGCGTTCAGTGCATGACCTTTTGACCTCTTAAGACTTGCGTAGACCTTATGCTTTCCCTTGACAGGCTTTTCTCTGATGTAGTTTCATAAAACTGCTCTGTTGTATTATACATGTCTTTCTCTGTGTGTTGTACAGAGACAAGACTGGAGGGTTGGCTGTCTTTACCAGTGAGGAACAACACCAAACGCTTCGGGTGGGAAAGGAAGGTATGTTTTGCATGTTTAAAACAAGTAGTTAGCTAAGGATGCTATGATGCTATACTGTTAAAAAAGTGCAATAGTATTAACATCAACATGACATTTAAATTGACCTGTCACTTAAGTAATCAGTGCATCATTAAAAAAAAATAAAAGGTCAGTAAGACAATAAAGAACAAAAAAAAAACAAGTTACAATTAATAATTGTAGAACAAAGATACAAATGAAGTAAACATAACCTAGTGTAACTTGTTGCTAATATCTTTATTGTGTTATCATTTAATTTCAGATTTTTGAATTAATTTATGGCATCATATATAATATATGACATCATGGTGGATGTGCATGGGAATGCAAATTAGTGATTATTTAAGCTAAATTAATGTGTCCAGTTTTATCTTGAACCAAAACTATTCAAAATCAATAAAATATGAATATTCAATGAAATTAGAAATTAGACATGTTGCCTTGGCAAGTAACCGAAATAGAATTTCAACTGAAGTATTAAAATGACTGAAATAAAAAAATTAATGAAAGCTAAATATAAATACAAAAAACAAAGGTTGCAAGCACATAACAAAATTACTACAACTTAAACTATAATTAAAATGAAATATAAGAATAAAAGATTTCAGTAACTTGTTGCTAATATCTTTATTGTGTTATCATTTAATTTAGATTGATTTTTGAATTAATTTATGGCATCATATATAATATATGACATCATGGTGGATGTGCATGGGAATGCAAATTAGTGATTATTTAAGCTAAATTAATGTGTCCAGTTTTAACTTGAACCAAAACTATTCAAAATCAATAAAATATGAATATTCAATGAAATTAGAAATTAGACATGTTGCCTTGGCAAGTAACCGAAATAGAATTTCAACTGAAGTATTAAAATGACTGAAATAAAAACTGAAATAAAAAAATTTATGAAAGCTAAATATAAATACAAAAAACAAAGGTTGCAAGCACATAACAAAATTACTACAACTTAAACTATAATTAATATGAAATATAAGAATAAAAGATTTCAAAATATTAAAAAATAATGAAGTATATCAATAATACACTGTGTTGTTATAGTGAGTGAATAAACTACTTAACTATTTAATAAACCTGTCCTATTTGAATTATTAACTCATGTTGTCTGCAACCACATGACAAATACTAATTACCTGGGCTAAACCTAAACCTCAAGTGACTTTGCAAACAGGAGCTAAAGCACTAGAGCTGTAGTGCTAGACACTGATACCCTTGCATTAAAAATCCCATCCAACCCTATCATGCAGGATTCAGTGAGTCTTTTGTTTCTTTTCTCTCCTCTAGTATGTTGTGGTGAGCAGCAAAAAGATTCTTTTCTACAACAGTGAGCAGGACAAAGAGCAGTCCAATCCTTACATGGTTTTGGACATAGAGTGAGTCCTTTTACTCTTTAAATCCATTTGGTTACACAAATTAATTTTGTCCCAGTGTAAAAAAAAATGGCCCTTTATCTTTTTGACTGACTTAAGTCATTTCTGTCGTCTTGTCATTATCTTAATTTCTCTGGTATTCCCTTGACAGTAAACTTTTCCATGTGCGTTCAGTAACCCAGACGGATGTCTATCGCGCTGACGCCAAAGAGATCCCCAGAATATTCCAGGTATATTGGTACCACAGATAACACAGGCAGGGTATCAGGGAACCTAATACCTGGGAAGTTTTATAAAGTCATATTTGAATCCTAAGAATAATGGCTGTAAGCTAAGGACTCATAGCTTATCATTGCTTCCCCCAGATCTTGTACGCTAATGAGGGTGAGAGCAAGAAAGAGCAAGAACTGGAACCTCTTCCTGGAGACAAGTCCAGCTACATTTGCCATAAGGGTCATGAGTTCATTCATACCCTGTACCACTTCCCCACTAACTGTGAAGCCTGTACCAAACCCCTGTGGAACATGTTCAAACCACCTCCAGCTCTCGAATGCAGACGATGCCACATCAAGTGCCACAAAGACCACATGGACAAGAAAGAGGAAGTCATCGCTCCCTGCAGAGGTGAGAAAGGGCTCTCTTCTTTACTACCTTAATGAGTAAAAAAAGGGTTCACTGGCTCCTGGAAAACCTGGGATATATTCAGAAATTATTTTTTCAGTTCTAAAGTATTTATTCAAGTAAGAGTTACTTTTAGAGAGAGCAAAAGTACTATGAAATTGTGTGTGTGTGTGTGTGGTTTATTTGCAAAAAAAGATAACTCAATTTTTTTAATTTTCAAAAATCATTTTTTTTATGTTGTTATGTTATGTATTTATTGTGTTGGTTAGCTGTATTTTTTTGTTATTTTTTTTAACCTAATCAAAATAACCCAACTGCATTTTGATTGAGATTAATTGGAATGCACAATGAAAAAAATAAATTTTGGACATTTTAAAAAACTGTTTTTGCAAATGAAATCTTCATACATACATATACAGTGGGGCAAAAAAGTATCGTGCATTGTTTGTTTCTCAGGAGATCAAAGTATTTTAGTTTCTTTTATCCTTACATATACATACATTTACATTAAGTAATTTTGCAGACGCTTTTATCCAAAGCGACTTACAATTGCGGAATACATAAAGCGATTCTTCTTAAAGGGGTCCTATTATGCTCTTTTACAAAGTCTTTGGGGTTGTACTAGAACAGGCTCTCATACTAGGTTGTTCAAAAAACACACTGGCATGAACGGCTCGAATAGTTCCTGTATCAAATGAAGGCCCGCCTTCTGAAATACGAAATGTGCTGTGATTGGTTAGCTGGGCCAGTGTGTGTTGTGATTGGCAGCACTCGGCGCCAGGTCGGGAAATGTCACGCCCTTTACCATAGCCACCTGCGAACTTCAGTGTAAATATTGCTTCAAAATCACATAAACAGCCAGGAATGGTGAACGAGAATGTTCTGGAAAGTGATTTTGAGCCTCTCTGTGATGGTACCATGAAGCGTCGCTCACTAGCGGATCTCAGACTTCTGGAGGGGATGTAGAATCGTAAAGCCTAGAAATGACAAGGGCCTGGACAAGAACTTGTGCAGCATGCTCTGTTAGAAATGGCCTGATCTTTCTGATGTTGTGCAATGCAAACCTGCAAGATCGAGCAGTCATTGCAATGTGGTCTTTGAAGATCAGCTGGTCATCAAAAATTACACCCAAGATTTCTGACCGAAGATGATGGGGTAATTGTAGAAGAACCTAGCTGGATGGTGAAATCATGCTGTAGAGTTGAAGTGGCAGGGAAAACAAGAAGCTCAGTCTTTGCCAGGTTGAGCTAGGCATGGACTGGTATGATAACCTTAAGCAAATATATCATGGTTTCATGGCATCACGGTATTGTCGTTACAGCTCTAAAATGTGTTATTTTTAAATTACTGGGTAAAAAACTACACACATACTAAAGCACGGATGACACTCGCGGTATTTTCAGCTTCTGCCGTCTCACTATATGATGATATGAACACGAATGTCATCTCCAGCTGCTCTGAGAGTTACTTCATTAGCATTTACCTTTTCATTTGAGAAAACTACCGTCATACCACATACACAGCAGCTGCAAGTTCTTCACGGCAACCCGTCTTTTTTTCCTGAAAACCGAGATTTTATTCACCATAGTGTAATTTCCGCCACATCTTAAATTGTGTATTGTATGGAAGCCCATTTCCGACACTAAATAAAAAATAAAAAAGGTAATTGCGAGTTTTTACTTCCCAATTCTGACTTTTTTTTCTCGCAATTGCATTTACATCTCGCAGTTCTGATTTTTTTTTCTTTCAATTTTGACGACTTTTCTCAGAATTGTGAGATATAAGCTCGCAATTATGAGTAGAGCCCGACTGATATATCGTTTTGCCGATGATCGGTATCGGCGAATATGCCACCGATATGAACATTTTTTTTACAGAGCAGCTGCAAGTTCTTCACGGCAACCCGTCTAAATAAAAGTTTAGTTTAACGTTCTACTGTCAGAATATACTATTTAGCAGTCTTAAGACTCAATGCTACTACTGCTAATAAATATTAATAAATCTTTATTTTTAAAGGAATAATCACATCTGTTTTCTTTTAAATTTTAACAGTAAACCTATGTTGTGCAGCACTTTGTTTGCCAAAAAATAAAAGGGTTTCATTTTCATTTGATTAGGATAAATTAAATTAATGTTTTATGCCTTCATCTGATTATCAGAAAAATTAAGAACATTTTATATTGCCCTATTATTGTTTAAAAAAGGACCCTATACAAAAAAATGAATAGGTTTAAAATACAGGCATGTGGTTCTTAATTTCTTTTTATTAATTCACCATTTGTAAACTGTTGTTTACTGTTCATTTTTTTTTAGAAATATCAATAGCATTTGTATTAAAACTATTCACTGGATGTAATCAAAAAAATTGAGAATCGAATCGGATCGAGAGCTTGCGAATCGAAATCGAATCGGGACATCTGAATCGATACCCAGCCCTATTGTTCACAGTGTTTCCTGTACAGTGAATGCCACGTAGTGCACAATGTAGGCGAGAGGCAATGATTCAGACAGTGTATGCTTTTGATTGGGGTAAATGAGGTCTGGTTTCTCGTTGTGTCACGCGAACAGTGGCAGCGCCCACAGTCTGATCCGGACTTTGGCTCCGGTCCACGCGATCGCACGGAGCGGATCATATGCGCGAGTCGGCATATATTAAACACTTCTGCAACTACACAGCCTCAGCATGATTATGACCACTACTTTGTTTTACTAAGAGTTTCATATTGAATCTAGGGGGTAGTCTATTAGACTGTGGCTGTCAAATGTGGCTTTACCGAGCTCAACGGCTCTGGCCTGAGCAGATATAAACTAAACGCTATTGGCTATTTTAAAAAGGGGGCGGAGCTGCTCGATTTGTCCCGCCCTCTCTTCTTGTTTCAGTTGAATTTACGTCACCACATAGAATAGGGTGACTATACGTGCCATTTTCCCAGGACGCGTCCTGGCC